CCCGTCTCGGCCTCCCAAAGTGCTGGGATTACAGGCTTGAGCCACCGCGCCCGGCCATCTTTTTTTTTTTTTAAACTACACTTTAAAAAACTATTTATCTTGTTGTACATGATAAATATATACAGTTTTAATTTGTCAGTTACAAATAAATGAATACGTAAAGAAATAAAAACAAAGTAAAGAAAAACAAAACAAACAAAAAACTATATTTTAAAATTTCAATAGCTTTGAGAGCACAAGTTTTGAGGATTGTAAATCATGCTACTATAAAGACACATGCACCTGTATGTTTATTGCGGCACTATTCACAATAGCAAAGACTTCGAACCAACCCAAATGTCTATCATTAATAGACTGGATAAAGAAAATGTGGCACATATACACCATGGAATACTATGCAGACATAAAAAGGATGAGTTCATGTCCTTTGCAGGGACATGGATAAAGCTGGAAACCATCATTCTTAGCAAACTATCACAAGGACAGAAAACCAAGCACTGCATGTTCTCTCTTATAAGTGGGAGTTGAACAATGAGAACACATGGACACAGGGAGGGGACCATCACACTCAGGGGCTTGTTGGGGGGTGGGGGACTGGAGGAGGGACAGCGTTAGGAGAAATACCTAATGTAAATGACGAGTTGATGGGTACAGCAAACCAACATGGCACATGTATACCTATGTAACAAAGCTGTACTTTGTGCACATGTACCCTAGAACTTAAAGTATAATTTAAAAATCCATGATAATAGTGGTATCATGTGATCAACTTTCTGATTAAATACTGACTCATTCATTCCATAGTATTTACTGAGCCCAACTGTGGGTCAGGCCCTTTGCTAGGTCCTGGGGACACAGCAGTAACTTTAGTTGGCTGAAGTAGTGGAAAGACAGTTGGAGTGGCCACAGATAACTCCATTTACTCTTTTGCACAAGAAAATTAAATACACATGTCCTAGGTGCCAAAGGTGTTTATGGAATCAAGTATATGAGCTGCCTTTAGGGAAATATTAAGCCTAACTCTGGGTTGGGCTTAATCCAGCCCCATAAATTTACAAATTGAGTAATTTGGGGCATGTATTTTAAACATTTTTCATCTGTGGAATTAGAACACTACTACCTACCTCACATTTTGAAGCATATTAAATGAAAAAGGCCCAGCGAAAAAAAACTATGTTTTTAAAAAACAGTATTTATCTTGCTGTACATGATAATTATATACAATTTTAATTTGTCAATTACAAATAAATGAATAAGTAAAGAAAACAAAACAAAACAAACAATAAACTATATTTTAAAATTTCAATAGCTTTGAGGGTACAAGTAGTTTTTGGTTACCTGGATGAACTGCCTAGTGGTGAATTCTGAGATTTTAGTGCACCTATCACCTGAGTAGTGTACACTGTACTTAATATCTAGCTTTTTAAATCCCCTACTCCCCTCCCACTCTCTCACCTTTTCAGTTTCCAATGTCCATTATACCACTGTGTGTGCCTGTGCATACCCATAGCTTAGCTCCCACTTGTAAGTGAGCACATACGGTATTAGCCATTTCTGAGTTACTTCACTTAGAATAGTGACCTCCAGCTCCATCCAAGTTGTTGTGAGAGGCATTATTTCATTCTTTTTCGTGGTTTAGTCGTACACCATGACGTATACCCCATTTACTTTATCCACTCATCGGGTTGAAGGGCACTTAGGTTGGTTACAGATCCTTGCAGTCGTGCATTGAGCTGTGATAAACGTACATTTATTTGTGTCTTTTTGATATGATGACCTCTTTTCCTTTGGGTAGATACCCAGTAGTGGGATTGCTGGATTGAATTTTAGATCTACTTTTAGTTTTTTGAAAAATCTCCATACTGTTTTCTATAGTGGTTATACTAATTTACATTCCCACCAGCGGTGGATAAGCATTCCCTTTTCACCACATCCATGCCAACATCTACCTTTTTTTGACTTTGTAATAAAGGTCATGCTGGCTGGGGTAGGGTAGAATCTCACTGTGGTTTTAATTTGCATTTCCCTGATTATTAGTGATGTTGAACATTAAAAAAAAAATTGTTTGTTGGTCATTTGTATATCTTATTTTGAGAAATGTCTCTTCATGTCATTTGCCAAGTTTTTGATAGGATTATTTGGTTTTTCTTGCTGATTTGCTTGAGTTCCTCATAGATTCTGGATATTAGTCCCTTGTCAGATGCATAATTTGCAAAATATTTCTTTTTGAATCTTCTTACAAAGACAAGTGAATCATTCACACATCCTCTTCCAATGTTCTCCAGATGACTTTGAGTTTTCTTAAACAGTCTTATAAGTTATTTTCATTTTTGTTTATAATTTGTTTTGTGTTTTTGACATTTTGAAAGTTAAGGAATTTTATTTATTTTCATTTTTATTTTTTGAGATGGAATCTCACTCACTTTGTCTCCCAGGCTGGAGTGCAGCAGTGTGATCTTGACTCACTGCAACCGTCCACCTCCTAGGTTCAAGCAATTCTCCTGTCTCAGCCTCCTGAGTAGCTGTGACTACAGGTGTGCACCACCACACTTGGCTAATTTTTGTATTTTTATTAGAGATGGGGTTTCACCATGTTGGCCAGGCTGGTCTTGAACTCCTGACCTCAAGTGATCCACCTGCCTCAGCCTCCCAAAGTGCTGAGATTAAAGGCATGAGCCACAGCACCCAGCCGAAATGTTAAGGAGTTTTAATAGATTTATCTAAGGGTTCCTCTAAACAAATTTTATATTTATAAGAATACCGCAATACATCTTTAACTCTTATTAATAATATATATTCTTTTGAGTATATATATTTTTCTTCACTAGTAAGGACTGTTAGCCAACTTGGTTAAATAATGCCTAAATAAATAAAAAATTTTAAAAATAATTTTTATTTTTTGGCAGTTCAGTCATTGAGTAAACTTGTACGAGATGATTTGAATTTATATCATGTATTTTGGTTCCTTAAATATGTCTTTTCATTTTCCTCCAGTTAGTACCAATGTGACACATGTCAGAAATGATTTTCTACCTCTTTCATACCAACCATACCCATTTTAAAGGTTTTAAAGTCTTTGTTTTAATTAGTTTTATCTAAAAAGGCTTCCTCATCTGATTGTGCTTACAACCGAATCTCAGTAAGGTATTTCATATGCAGATTACTTGTTGACAGTTGAAAATCATGGAGATATTGTTCACTCTGTTTTGAGAGAAATTTATTTTTAGTGGTAGGTCATTGTGAATTTTTTGATATGCATGTAAATATGCACTTTAATTGGCTTTAATAATCAGTCCCCAGACAACTCCAAAGTTGAAACCATTCATAATTTTTAAAGATGAGCCTTGAACCGGAATGAAGAAACATGGCTTGATGTTCCAAGTCAGCAGCACATTAGGGATGAAAAATGAATAGTTTGGGAAAGTTGGTCTCCATGATCCTCTCGGCTCGTGTATTCTGTGATTCTAAATTTAATTGTTTTGGATGTACCCATTCCATCCCTGTCTTAGGTGCAGATCCCCCTGGAGGGATGGGATTGGCCAATGAGAGTTCCCTAATGGATTTTATCCTTCTAGGCTTCTCAGACCACCCTCGTCTGGAGGCTGTTTTCTTTGTATTTGTCCTTTTCTTCTACCTCCTGACCCTTGTGGGAAACTTCACCATAATCATCATCTCGTGTCGGGATCCCCTTCTTCACACCCCGATGTACTTCTTTCTCAGCAACCTCTCTTTACTGGACATCTGCTTCACTACTAGCCTTGCTCCTCAGATCTTAGTTAACCTGCGAGGACCAAAGACCATCACTTACGGTGGTTGTGTGGCACAGCTCTATATTTCTCTTGCACTGGGCTCCACTGAATGTATCCTCTTGGCTGTCATGGCCTTGGATCGGTACGTTGCTGTCTGCAAACCCCTCCACTATGTAGTCATCATGAACCCACGGCTATGCCAACAGCTGGCATCTATCTCCTGGCTCAGTGGTTTGGCCAATTCCCTGATCCATGCAACTTTTACCTTGCAATTGCCTCTCTGTGAAAACCATAGGCTGGATCATTTTATTTGCGAAGTACCAGCTCTCCTCAAGTTGGCTTGTGTGGACGCCACTGTCAATGAATTGGTGCTTTTTGTTGTTAGTGTTCTGTTTCTTGTCATTCCACCAGCACTCATCTTCATGTCCTATGGCTTCATAACTCAAGCTGTGCTGAGGATCAAATCAGTAGAGGCAAGGCATAAAGCTTTCAGCACCTGCTCCTCCCACCTTACAGTGGTGATTGTTTTCTATGGCACCATAATCTACATATACCTGCAACCCAGTGAAAGCTATGCCCAGGACCAAGGGAAGTTTATCTCCCTCTTCTACACCATGGTGACCCCCACTTTAAATCCTATCATCTACACTTTAAGGAACAAGGATGTGAAAGAGGCTCTGAGGAAACTTCTCTCGGGAAAATTGTGATTCCTATGGATGTGATATGCAAAGAATTCATTATAAGACATGTAGCTATTCAACTTCTACTTAGTCAAACCCATAGTTCTAAATTTCACATGAGCTATATTACTATTCACTTATTTTCTCTTCATAAGGGACTTTTTCCTTTTTTATGTGTAACTAAGTAAAATGTTTATATGTGTATTTGGGAGTATACACTATTGAAAAGAGAGCTGTGGATGGTTGTATATTGTGATCCTCACCACAAAGTCTCTATTTTATGTCTTACACTTATTCCCAGGGATTCAGAAAAATAAACTATTAAATATTTACCACTTATTTATCCAGGTTATGATGATTTTCTTCATTTTTAATAAAATGTTCAGTTTCCTGCCAAACACTTCACATTTACATAGTAATGTCCTTCATTATAGTTTTATGTTGAAAATAAGCAATTCCTGCATGTGCTCATAGTTCAAATTTATTGGTCAGTAGGATATTGTATTAGCTATTATTAAATAATCATTCCAAATACATTTTAAGAATTTAATAAGGGGCAACAAGAACAAAATATGCTAAACACATTATTTTTCATAACTTAGAGAGTGCATCTCTTTTTGTGTTCTGAGGCCACTTTGTCCATGTACAGAGCCATGCTCATCTTCTCTGTATTATTTCAATGTTAGCATATGAGTTACAGAAGTGAGCACTGAGGTCACTTTATGCATGGTAGGTACAAGACTTTTGAAAGAATAAAATAATCAAATAATTTTGTTCTAAACCTTTTCATATATTTGATCAATGAGAATAATTGGACTTCAAAAGACATTATTATTTTCTTTTTTGAAAAATACAGCTTCATTGATATATAATTGATATACATATTTAATGTATAAAATTTGATGGTATGATATATACATACATTCTGGAAAATATCACCACAAAGTAACACACAGAACCATTACATCTGGAAGTTTCCTTGTGCCTCTTATTTGTGCTTGTTACAACACAACATATGATCAACACTTTTAACAAATTTTTCAGTCCACAATACAGCACTGTAAACTATAAGCACTATGCTTTACAACAGATCTCTAGAACTTATTCATCTTGCATAAATGAAACTTTGTACTCATTGAACAAAAACTCCCCATTTTCTTGCCTCTCATCCCCTAGTAACCATTATTCTATTCTCTACTTCTATGATGGTGACTATTTTAAATATTTAATATAAGTGAAACCACACACTACTCACCTTCTGTGACTAGCTTTTTTATTTACATAATGTCCTCCAGGTTCATTCATATTGTTGCAAAGGAGTCAATTCAGCAAGAGGATATAACAATTGTAAAAATATATGCACCTGACACTGAAGCACACAGATTATATAAAGCAACTATTATTAGAGCTAAAGAGAGAGATAGGCTCCAATGCAATAATAGCTGGAGACTTCAACAACCCACTTTCAGCATTGGACAGATCTTCCAGACAGAAAATCAACAAGGAGACATTGGACTTAATCTGCACTACAGACCAAATGTACCTAATACACATTTACAGAACATTTCATCCAAGAGCTGCAGAATACACATGCTTTTTCTCAGCACATGGATCATTCTCAAGTATAGACCATATGTTAGGTCACAAAACAAGTCTTAAAACATCCAAAAAATTGAAATAATATCAAGCATCTTCTCTGACCACAAGGGAATAAAACTAGACATTAATAACAAGAGGAATTTTGGAAACTATAAAAACACATGGAAATTAAATAATATGCTCCTGAATGACCAGTGGGTCAATGAAGAAATTAAGAAGGAAATTGAAAAGTTTCTTGAAATAAATGATAATAAAAACACAACATACCAAAGCCTATGGGATACAGCAAAACCAGTACTAAGAGGAAAGTTTATAGCTATAAGTGCCTACATCAAAAAAGAGGAAAAATTTCAAATAAACAATCTAATGATGCATTTTGAGGAACTAGAAAAGCAAGAGCAAACCAAACCCAAAATTTGTAGAAGAAAAGAAATCAGAAGATCAGAGCAGAAATAAATGAAATCAAAATTGAAAAAAAGGTCAATGAAACAAAAAGTTGGTTTTTTGAAAAGTTAGACAAAATTTATGAAACTTTAGCCAGACTAACTGAGAAAAAAGGGAAAATATCTGAATAAATAAATTCAGAATAAAAAAGGACATTATAACTGATACTGCAGAAAATTCAAAGGTTCATCAGTGGCTACAATGAGCAACTATATGCTATTGAATTGGAAAATCTAGAAGAAGTGAACAAATTTCTAGACACATAAACAACCTACCAAGATTGAACCATAAGGAAATTCAAAATCTGAACAGGCCAGTAACCAGTAGTGAGGTCAAAGCCATAATAAACAGTCTCCCAGTGTAGAAAAGCCCCAGGACCCAGTGGCTTCATTGCTGAATTCTACCAAACGTTTAAAGAAGAACTAACAGCAATCCTACTCAAACTATTCCAAAAAATAGAGGAGGGAATATTTTCAAACTTATTTCATGAGACCAACATTACCCTGGTACCAAAACCTGACAAAGACACATCAGAAAAGGAACACCACAGGCAAATATCTCTTATATTGTGGATGCAAAAGTCCTAACAAAAGTCTAGCAAACCAAATTCAACAATATATTAGAAAGATTATTAATCATGACCAAGTGGGGTTTATCCAAGGGATGCAAGGATAGTGTTAAACTTTGCACTATAACAACAGCTTAAAACATGAAAAATATAATTATATAATTGAATGTTGCAAAGTCATGTTTTCACATTATTAAAAAGCAGTGATGTGTGGTTTGCATGAGATACAAGTTGAATTAACTTGTATTTTCCTTATCATGGAATATCCAGATTTATTGGGTGAACATGGTAAAGACCGAAAAAGTTGCCTTGGGATAAGAAGTAAAGGATAAAATAAATCACATAAATTTTGTGTATTTCTGCAAAGTGAAACATAATATGAATAAAATAATTGGAAACAGCACTGTTTTCATTTTAGTTGATGAGCAGACAATTATAAAGATATAATTTTCAAAACTATGATCATGAAACTGCTTCCAAAATACAGAAAATAGTAAAACTTGTGGATTTGCCTAAATCAGAGTCCTAGAAATCTGTCTTTTGAGAATTCAGAGTGAAGACACAAGCTATGTGTGCAAGGCACTTAAACAAATTATACCAGCTTTCCATTTAGGAGAAGAAAACTGAAAACTCAGGGCCATGATCTCTATGTAGATGGAGAACTTACATATTTATTAAGATAATCAAATTGTGGAATAAATGACTTGCTTCCAGTGATTAAAAATTATCTGCAATATTTTGACCATACTTTTTATGAATTGCAGTGAAGAATTATAAAATATTTGACCACTGTATAAATCTTTAATACAGATATAATCTTTAATACACTATAGGACATGAATAACCTCCTCCAAATTCATTTTCCAGGATCTCTAAATAGACTATTTCAAACTTCAGGTTTATGATTTTAAAATTTTAATTCATTTTGCAACTAATGAACTGGAAATAAGAGTCTTCATTGTGAAGCATCTTCATATTTCTAGGTTTCTGATCAATCAGAAGGACAGAATTCTCTGGAAAAGTCATTAATATTTTTTCCCATGTCCAGCAATCAATGCAGTTAGGTAAGAGTTTTCTAACTTAGTAAGAAAAATACGCAGGTCTTATTGAGCTTACTTCATTCCTGTGAAGCAAGTTGTAGGCACTCTGGTGAAGAAATAATATACTTCTCACTGATACAAAAGCTATTACTATTGGATTTTCACAATGTAAGATTGCATGCCAAAATCACAGATCTTGATAAAGAGTAGAGGAAAGCAATGTGACATGGGGGCCCTAGGAAGGGAGAACGAGGAGTTCAAGTGAGAGTTTATAGTTCTAAGTAGGGTGGGGCAAACACATTTCATCTGGTGGGAAAAGATAAAGCAGTTCCTGAGAATTCTAGGAAATATACAGCAGCAGGTAGATCAAAGTCCAAAATCTGAAATACTATCAAACTGTGGTAAGTTTACTATTTTTTTTCCTCTTGTCTTCAGGTGGTTTAACCTATGATGTAGGCCCAGTCATGGAAGAGCATCTTATGTAAATCCAAAATTAATCTAAAATGAGAAGTTTATATAAGGACTTTAGCATTTAGAAAGATGGAGTTGAAGTACTGTTTCTTTTTCCTTCTGCCAAGTTCAATTACAATCTTTGGACACTGTATATAAAACAAGCATAGGAAGATTCTGGAAGGTGAAGGGAATAAGACAGACCAGCTGGGTACTGGTTTGTTGTTTTCTTCCTCCTGTATGTGCCAGCCTAGGTCTTGGAAAATCTCACTGTCCAGAAATGCTGAAGGGCACAGACCTAAAGAAAAAGTCCATATAAAACCCAAGTCTCTCCAGTCAAAGGACAAGGAAAAGGGAAGGCAAGCAAGACAGAAACTTCTAGACAATACCTTCTCCACTCCAGCCAAACACCACAGAAAAAACAGAGTCCTACCTCTAGTCCCACCAGAAACATTCAAACGGGGAGCCTGGACATCCACTCTTACCTGATTTTTCCTCTCCCGCCCCTTGATGGGCTGGTGTCAGTAGAGGCCTGCTGGAGAGTCTGAACTTTCGCCACAGCCCAACGATAACAAGCCCATCCACTACGGTGTCAGTGGAATTACGTGGAAGCAGTAACAAAGCACATTTGCCCATTACATCCACAGTGATATCCAGCAGAGAGCTGGAAATCCCACCCTGCCAACAGCAATGAGGAGTCCTTTCTCTTCATGTAGGAGCCAAAGAGGTGGTGTTTGGAGGGAGTAACACCAATTTTATTTTGGGGTGAAGATAAGATATTGGGGTGAGCAATAAGAGGATGTGCAGGAGTATTATTAACAGCAAGCAAGATCTTGAAAGGTATATGATTCCCCAAACAGTACTTCTCCATTTGGTTGGCATAGCAATTCAGAAGGGCACTTTGGAAGAGGAGCTGGGTCATTCGTGACTTCTTAGTGCTCCTGTAGAACACAGGCGGCTCATGCTAATTGATATGACTGAAGGCCCTGGAGTTCTCACAGTGCCAGATCACAAGGGCCATCCTGGCACTGAGTGGGCCTGTGGCCTGTGTCCACAGGGAACACCCTGCAGGTTGGGTCCATGGGTACCAGCCTGGTGCTTGTGGCCACGGGGGAAACTGGTCTGCGGTTGGTGGACTTAGAGCCTGTATCTGTAGGGCCAGCCTGGATACTGGGTCTGCTGGTGTTGGAATGGTGCCCAAGGCCAGGGTGGACGGCCTGGTGCTATGGTTTTCAGGTGCCAATCTGGAACTGGGGTAGGCCTGAAGCCTGGGGTTATAGGGTTGGGTCTGGCACTGAAACAGTCTGGATCCTGTGGTCACTGGGGCTGGCCTAGTGGTGGAGCCAGTGGTGGAGAACCTCAGGCAGGTCTGGAGCCTGTGTCTACGGGGGCTTCCTTGGCACAGGAATGGGCCTGGAGGCTGGGTGCGTGGGTGCTGACATGGTGATTTGACCTGCTGGGCTAGTCTGTTTCTGAGGCAGGCCTAAAGACTGTGGCTGTGGGAGCCAGCCTGGCGCAGGGGGATCTCGGGAGCCCGGAGCTTCTGAGGCTGACCTGGCAGTAGAGCAAACTTGGGGACTGTGTTTGCAAGTCAGCTTGGCATTGGGAATGAGGTGATGTGAGTAAGATGACACTGTCTTTCCCACCCTCTTCATTGCATGTTTTAACATTTCTGTGCTGCAATATCTCATCTGGTTTTCTTAGCTCGTGTGAAGGTCCTTTTGGGCATGAATAGTTGTTTGAATTGATGTTTCCGTGGGCGGATGAGAGTTGGAAAGTCCTATTCCACCAACCTGCCGATGTCATTTGTAGAAATAATTTCTTCAACAACAAAAGAAAAAACCAAAACAAACAAATTTTAAAAATGGAGAATTCTGTAATCCCAGAACTTTGGGAGTTCAAGGTGGGTGGATCACCTGAGTTCGGGAGTTCAATACCAGCCTTATCAACATGGAGAAATCCCGTCTCTACTAAAAATACAAAATTTCTGGGCGTAGTGATGCATGCCTGTAGTCCCAGCTACTCGGGAGGCTGAGGCAGGAGAATGGCATGAACCCGGGAGGCGGAGCTTGCAGTGAGCTGAGATCGCACCATTGTATTTCAGCCTGGGCGACAGAGCGAGACTCCGTTTCAAAAAAAAAAAAAAAAGTGGAGAATTAATAGAAAAACAACATTGAAATTAATAAGTTCTATGTACCAAAACACTATAAAGAGAAATATAAAACTACAAACTTGAACAATATCTACAACTAATTTCATCAACAAAGACTTAGTATACTAATGAACAATAATTCCTACATACTAATAAAAATAAACCCAATTTTAAATGAGGAAACATTTGAACAGCATTCCACAAAAGAAGCAATCTGGTGACCACTCAATCCATGTAGGGGTGAGGAATGGCATCAAATGAGACAGAGGATTAGATAAGAGTCAGAGCATTCAAGCATACAGGCCAGGTCAACAAATTTTACCTTTAATATCAAAGAAGTGCAGAGAAAGGTTTTAAGATAAGGGTGTCAGATTAGTTTTGTTTTGTTGTTGTTGTTATTTCATTTTTTTTTTTTTTTTTTTGAGACGGAGACTCGCTCTGTCACCCGGGCTGAAGTGCAGTGGTGTGACTATATCACCTCCACCTCCCTGGCTCAATAGATCCTCCCACCTCAGCCTCCCTCGTAGCTGGGACTACAGGCACATGCCACCATGCCCAGTGAGATGGTCTCACACTCCTGGTCTCAAGCTATCTGTCCGCCTCAGTCCCACAAAGTGCTAGGATTACAAGCATGAGCCAGGACACCCAGCTAGATTAGCTTTGCGTTTAAAATTTGCCATTCATATACAAAATTGCCTTGGGATAGAAAGGTCTGTGAAAAGGCACAAATATACCTATCAGGGAAGAATATTAGGATAAAAATATTAAGAATGAAAGTCTAGTTCCAGAATCTCTGTTTGGGTTTATACCTATTGTCTAAGCGTAATTATTGGTCATTTCTTCTTTCACTCTCAGCACAAGTGCTCTATCTAATCGAGTCTCTGGGTGTGTGGAAGGTTATATTATTCAATTAATTCCCATTCTTTTATCCCACATCACAGAAAAGAATATTTCTTATTATTGCTAGTCACTGAACTAATCAAAGCTTTGCTTTGCTTCTTGCTCCCCAAGAACATATTTACAGGAAATCTTGTCTCCAGAGACTTCTGAATTATAGAGAGTTTCTCTCATTAGGATCTCACTTATTAACCACCATTTCATTAAAAATATTGAATCACAGCTAAACGGAAACCAGATGTGGCACTCATCAAGTTTGTATTTTTGAATCAGGGAGAAGATAAAGATATTTGCCGTCGCAACTTGGAGGCTACAGCCACATTGTTAGATTAAGGCATTTTTCAATTTTATCTGATATGTTCAGGTAAACCAAGGCTCCTTCTCAAAGAAACAGAAATTTGAAATTTTGAATGACTGAAGTTCCTCAATGGCCCAGTTCAACAAAAATCAGCTCACAGCATGCAGTAAGTTCAATACCATAAGTGGAAAATAAAACCATAATAATGTTATATTATTTTTCAATTAATAGATTGCACTGATATGTTTCCATACCATCTTCTTATCTGATTTATAGATTAAGCACAACACATTTTAGAATACACACTCATTTCTTTTTTTGGGGTGATAGCAGTTCTGGATCTGGGCATGAGCAATGCACATCTGTGAAAGCAGGTAAAAGAAAAAAGGGAGTAGTATAATACGAGTCTTGATGTGTGGTGAAATTGGATGAGTCTATATTTCCTTTCAGTGGTGAAAGTTGTGTGTGTGCCTGTGTGTGTGTTGTCTCGATGTATGGTGGGATTGGATGAGTCCATATTTCTTTTCAGTGGTGAAAGTTTGTGTGTGTGTGTGTGTTCAATGAAAAGGATGTTCTGTGTACATTTAAACATGTTTGCATTTACTGAATTTTTAAAAATTCATAATAAATGAGTCAATTCCAATGCCTGTCAATGCTGTATAATAGTTCTCATTTTAGAATCCTTGATATTTCTCTTCCTGATTAGTGTCACCATATCATTCCTTTAAACATTTTAATAAAAGAGATGTTAATTAATGGTGCCCTGGTAAATTGTAATCAGAATAGATTCCCAAGATGAAGTCGGTTCTTTTGCTTGGTCATAAGAAGCATTTTTCTTTCCAATTGGTTGTACCTGTCCATTAAACAACCAGCTATTTAGGCAATCAATGTCAGAAAACTAGAACAAATAGAAACACATTTTCCAGTAGAGAGACACTCAGTTGACTCCATTTTGGTTTTCTTTCCCTGTTTAACTTTTGATTTGCCCTAGAAAGACCAGGAAATCAGTGACTGCCTAGAGTGAGAACTGGCAGAAGAAGAGATTATATACAAAGAAGGATAAGGAATCTTTTGGATATATGAAAATAGTCTGCCCTGATTGTGGTGATGGTTTCATAGGAAACCACAACTGCCAAAACTCCTAGAATTGCATACTTTAAATTGATACAATTTACTGTACATAAATTCCAGCTACATTATCTGATATGGGCGAAAATCCATTTCAGAGTTTGGCTTAAACACTATAGAAGTCTGGGAATGAGGACACCATTTTACTGGACTGGACTAATCCAAAGCAAAATTAAAAAAATAAAAATAAAATGAGTCACAGATGCTAGGAAAGATCATTATAGAAATTGTTCAATATTTTTAGGGGTCTTGAATACATATTTGATATTCTTTTTCTTTGAATCTCAACATTGAAGATGGATTCTGAAGACCAGCAAAAAGACTAGACTGATGTAAATGCACATTTTCTAGCAAATCCACAACCATATCCTAATCATACTATAAATACTTTTGTACCTCTGCCTTTTCCTATGTGGCTTTCTTCAAAAATAGCAGTTTAAAAATCATTCAGTAAAATAGTTCTCAAGACCTAGCTCAGATACTGTTCTTGGCAAGTCTTCCATAACAACACAAAATAAGACCGATCTCTTTTCTCGATACATCCTCTATCACTCTTTCTCATCACGTCTGTTATTGTTTATAATACCAGACTCCACTTAGTATTTTACCTCCCTGTGTCCTCTATTTGATTAAGTTTTGAATTCAAGAACTGTTTCTTATGAAATCTTTTACTCTAAGAGCCAACCATTGTGCTTTTTATGTGAGGTGTTTAACAAATGTCTCCTGATACTTTTTTGAAAGGCTGTGACTATAACCTCACTAAATAGTTATGACATAAGGAGCCTTTTTTCCAGATTACTAATACCACTTTGATTTTATTTTCATAAAAACTGAAAAGAACTATGAAAACCACTTGCAATGCTGTACTTTAACACATAAGGAGCAAATAAAATGCTTCAAAATAAATGTGTATATTCAATCAATGGAATAATACTCATTTTTTGTCCAAGTATGCATACTTCATTCTTTTATTATTACTATATATTTTCTTTGTTGATTATGTCGGTGTGGTTATTCATTCTCCCTTTTTAGTTTGCATTTTGGTTGTCCTCTTTATACACCTCACATACTAGGATGTACTTATTGAGAATATGCTTTGTATAAAGCACTATTCTGTGTAATTGAGATTTAGGTTTAGAACGATAGTATCCATGCTGCATATGAGTAACCTTATATTTAATTATCACAAATTTAAATGTCACTTGGGGTAGCCATATTTGATATTTCTGTAATCCATTTTTTTTCTCTCTTTAGGAAGAAATGGAACGACCACAAATGATTTTAACCAAACTGAAGTTGCTGAATTTTTCCTCATGGGATTTTCGAATTCCTGGGATATTCAGATTGTACATGCTGCTGTATTCTTCCTAGTTTACCTGGCAGCTGTCATAGGAAATCTCCTAATCATCATGCTTACCACTCTGGATGTTCACCTCCAAACCCCAATGTATTTCTTTTTGAGAAACTTGTCTTTCTTAGATTTTTGTTACATCTCTGTCACAATTCCAAAATCTATTGTCAGTTCCTTGACTCATGATACTTCCATTTCTTTCTTTGAGTGTGCTCTGCAAGCCTTCTTTTTCATGGACTTGGCGACTACAGAGGTAGCCATCCTTACAGTGATGTCCTATGACCGCTATGTGGCCATCTGCTGGCCCTTATATTATGAGGTCATCATAAACCAAAGTGTCTGTCTGAGGATGATGGCCATGTCATGGCTCAGTGGGGTGATCTGTGGATTCATGCATGTGATAGCAACATTCTCATTACCATTCTGTGGGCGCAATAGAATACATCAATTTTTCTGTAATATTCCACAGCTCCTAAGCCTCTTAGACCCCGAAGTAATTACCATTGAGATTGGAGTCATGGTTTTTGGTACAAGTCTTGTGATAATCTCCTTTGTTGTAATTACTCTCTCCTACATGTACATTTTTTCTGTCATCATGAGGATTCCTTCTAAGGAGGGTAGATCAAAAACATTTTCTACCTGCATTCCACATCTTGTGGTTGTAACACTCTTTATGATATCTGGCAGCATTGCCTATGTGAAGCCAATTTCAAATTCTCCCCTGGTTCTGGATGTTTTACTGTCTGTGTTCTACACAGTCGTGCCCCCGACCCTGAACCCCGTCATCTATAGTCTGAGGAATAGAGACATGAAGGCGGCCCTGAGAAGGCAGTGTGGTCCCTGAGAAGGCAGTGTGGTATGCTAGATGAAGAATTCGATTAGGGACCAGAACTCTTGAACTCTTTTTCTAATCAGGCAATTTGTAAACTTTCTGGGCTTATATTTTCAATTGGTTGCTGAGTTCTTTCTTGGTTTTTAAATTAAATTCAGCTATAGTTTACCATACTCTCCATATTTGGGTGAATTCAACCCTAGAATGCACTAAAAGGTACTTTGGGGTATTCAAAATATTAGAACTTGTGTGTTTATTCATTTTTATGTGTTGTCTGTCTCAAAATTTTATAAATTATATTGTACTCAGTAATGCAATATATTAATATAAAAGTGAATTACTAATATAAAATGAATTACTACAGTATGTGTATATTAATTATAGTAGAACAAGATCATATGGATTAAAAACAACCAAATGGAAAATAAACAAAAGGTAATACTGTGTGCTCAAAATTTCTTCAGCATTATAAAGTATGATCAAATAGGCTAGAGATCAGTGCTTTGGGGGTACATCTATTGGGTGAGATGAAATATATGCAATAATATCACAAACAATAAAGGTTCACATACATTTATGGTGCTGTGTATAGGAAGGTTCATAGAGGAGAAATGTCATTTTCATTGTATTTTAATTAAACACAATATTGTGTTAAGCTAACTAAAATCTTCTTCCATTTTTCCTCTGCATAGGAAAGCATGAACTGAAAGTTATTATGCATTATTCCCAGAATGTTTTTATGTGTATTCTATGTAAATATTCATCTATACAATGCATAGCATCATTTTATAAATTAATACTTAAACTATAATATAAATAGCATCCTACCTTAGTTATCCTTTTTAAAGTCCTTTAAATTGTATTTTTAATTGACAAATAAAAATAATTATATATGTTTATGGGGTAAAAGTGATATTTTAATACATGTTTGCAATGTGGAATGATTAAATCAGGCAATGTAATATATCATCTGAAACATTTATCATTTATTTGTGGTGACAATGTTTAAAATCCTCTCTTTAAACTATTTTGAAACATACAATACATTGGTATGAATTAGAGTAATCTTGCTGTGCAATAGATCACCAGAACTTATTCTTCCTGTCTAACTGGAACTCTGTACTCCTTGACCAACATTTCCCTGTTACCAATCTATCATGACCCTTGCCCGCATCTTCTGGTCACCACCGTTCTACCCTGTATTTTTATGAGTTTGACTTTTTTAGATTGCACATGTAAGTGAGATCCTGTGGTATTTGTCTCTCTGTGACTGGCTTATTTCACTTAACATGATATCCTCTCTAGTTTCATCCATATTGTCACAAATGACAGAATTTCATGTTTTTTTTTTTTTTTTTCCAAAGCTAAATAGTATTCATTGTGTGTGTATACTACATTTTAAAAATCCATTTGTCCATGATGGACACTTAGATTGATTCCATATTTTGGCTATTGCAATGCTGTGATGCATATGGAAATACAGACATGTCTTTGACCTACTGATTCCAGTTCCTTTGGATAGATGCAAGCGTACCTCATTGCATTGCACTTCATTTACTGAATTTCACAAATACTGCATTTTTTACAAATCGAAGGTTTTTGGTAACTTTGCATTGGGCAAGTCTATTGGCACCATTTGCCTGACAGCATGTGCTCACTTCACGTCTGTATGTCACATTTTAGTGATTCTCACAATATTTCAAACTTTTTCATTATTGTTATATCTGTTTTGGTGATCTGTGATCAGTGATGTTCAATGTTACTATTATATTTGTTTGGGGGAGCCATGAACTGTTCTCATATAAGATGATAAACTTAATAAGTGTGTGTGTTCTGACTCTCTGTTGACTGGCTGTGTCCCCATCTTTTTTCCTCTCCTTAGGCCTTGCAATTTCCTTACATACAACAATATGAAAATTAGGTCGATCAGTAATCCGACAAGGCCTCTGAATTTTCATGTGAAAGGAAGAGTTGCCTGTCTCTCACTTTAAATCAAAAGCTAGAAATCATTAAGCTTAGGGAGGAAGGTGCAGTCACTCAAATTACGAAAAAATGCAACATCTAAAGGAAAACATTGATAATTGCAACTTTATTAAATGTAAGGCTTTATGTTCACCCACAGTCATCTTAAAGTGGAAAAAATTCCAAACTACACACCCGTAGAACCTAATTGCCAAAGGATTGGCACTCTGAATATGAAAATGACTCCTTTAAATCAGGAACAGATCAAGAACATGTAAAAATGTGCATTGTACTTGAAGAGTACATTATCCTGGAAAAGTCATCTCACAGCAGAGAAAACATAATTTGTCCAGTAACACAGGCAAGCTTTCTAAAATGTCTGATAACATCAAGTGTTGGTGGGCTTAGGAACGACTTGGACACTCACACTGCTGTTGTTAGTGAACACAATGATCCATATCTTGTTAATTTTCTGTCTCAATGATCTGTCTAATATTGACAGTGGGGTATTAAAGTCTCCCACTATTATTGTGTGGGAGTCCCAAGTCTCTTTGTAGGTCTCTAAGAACTTGCTTTATGAATCTGGGTGCTCCTATATCGGGTGCATATATATTTAGGATAGTTAGCTCTTCTTGTTGCATTGATCCTTTTACCATTATGTGATGTTCTTCTTTGTCTCTTTTGCTCTTTGTTGGTTTAAAGTGTGTTTTATCAGAGATTAGGATTTCAACTCCTGTTTTTTGTTTGTTTGTTTGCTTGTTTGTTTGTTTGTTTTTGCTTTCCATTTGCTTGGTAAATATTCCTCCCTTTATTTTGAGCCTATGTGTGTCTTTGCATGTGAGATGGATCTACTGAATACAGCACACTGATGGGTATTGACTCTTTATCCAATATGCCAGTCTGTGTCTTTGAATTGTGGTATTTAGCCCATTTACATTTAAGGTTAATATTGTTATGTGTGAATTTGATCCTGTCATTATGATGCTAGCTGGCTATTTTGCCCGTTAGTTGATGCAATTTTTTCATAGTGTTAATGGTCTTTACAATTTGGTATATTTTTCCAGTGGCTGGTACCAGTTGTTCCTTTCCATGTTTAGTGCTTCCTTCAGGATCTCTTGTAAGGCAGGCCTGGTGGTGACAAAATCTCTCAGCATTTGCTTGTCTGTAAAGGATTTTACTTCTCCTTCGCTTATGAAGCCTAGTTTGGCTGGGTATGAAATTCTGGGTTGAAAATTCTTTTCTTTAAGAATGTTGAATATTGGCCCCTACTCTCTTTTGGCTTGTAGGGTTTCTGCAGAGAGATCTGTTGTTAGTCTGATGGGCTTCCCTTTGTGGGTAACTTGACCTTTCTCTCTGGCTGCTCTTAACATGTTTCCCTTCATTTCAACTTGGTGAATCTAATGATTATGTGTCTTGGGGTTGCTCTACTTGAGGAATATCTTTGTGGTAGTCTCTGTATTTCCTGAATTTGAATGTTTGCCTGTCTTGCTAAGTTCGGGAAGTTCTCCTGGATAATATCCTGAAGAGTGTTTTCCAACTGGGTTCCATGCTCCTCATCACTTTCAGGTACACCAGTGAAACATGGATTTGGTCTTTTCACATAGGCCCATATTTCTTGGAGGCTTTATATATTTCTTTTCACTCTTTTTTCTCTAATCTTGTCTTCTTGCTTTATTTCATTGAGTTCATCTTCAATCTCTGATATCCTTTCTTCTGCTTGATCAATTTGGCTATTGATACTTGTGTTTGCTTCACGAAGGTCTTGTGCTGTGTTTTTCAGCTCCTTCAGGTCATTTATGTTCTCTAAACTGGTTATTACAGGTAGCAATTAATCTAACCTTTTTTCAAGATTCTTTGGTTCCTTGAATTGGGTTAGAACATGCTCCTTTAGCTTAAAGGAGTTTGTTATTACCCACTTCTGAAGCCTACTTCTGTCAATTCATCACTCATTCTCGATCCAGTTTTGTTTCCTTGCTGGCAAGGAGTTGTGATCCTTTGGAGGAGAAGAGGTTTTATGGTTTTCAGAATTTTCAGCCTTTTTGTGCTAGTTTCTACCCATCTAAATAGATAGTGGATTTATCTATCTTTGGTCTTTGATGTTGGTAACCTTCAGATGGGGTCTCTGAGTGGATGCCCTTTTTGTTGATGTTGATACTATTCCTTTCTGTTTGTTAGTTCTCCTTCTAACAGTCAGACCCCTCGGCTGCAGGTCTATTGGAGCTTGCTGGAGGTCCACTGCAGACCCTGTTTGCCTGGGTATCACCAGCGGAGGCTGAAGAACAGCAAAGATTGCTGCCTGTTCCTTCCTCTGGAAGCTTTGTCCGAGAGGGGCACCTGCCAGATGGCAGCCAGAGCTCTCCTGTATGAGGTGTCTGTTGGCCCCTACAGGGAGGTGTCTCCCAGTTAGAATGCATGGGGGTCAGGGACCCACTTGAGGAGGCAGTCTGTCCCTTATCAGAGCTTGAGCACTGGCTGTGCTGGGAGATACGCTGCTCTCTTCAGCGCTGTCAGGCAGGGATGTTTAAGTCTGCTGAAGCTGTGCCCACAGCCACCCCTTCCCCCAAGTGTCTGTCCCAAGGAGATGGGGGTTTTATCTATAAGTCCCTGACTGGCCTACTGCCTTTTTTTCAGAGATGCCCTGCCCAAAGAGGAGGAATCTAGAGAATGCCACTGTCTTAAATAGCATTTTCAGGGTTGACATTGTGCAGTAGGTGAAATTTAGGCAAAAGATTAAAGGAGGTAAGGGAATTGGTCCTAAGTTATTTAGGGGAAGAATGTTCCAGACAGAGAAACATGTGCAAAGTCCCTAGGTAAAAGCCGCCTGGCATATTCCAAGAATGAGGAAGAGATTGGCATGGCTGGAGGGGAGTGAGTGAGGGTCAGGGAAGCAGAACACGCAGGTGAAGAGGCAGCTGAGTAGCAGATCACCATGGAGGAAATGGGGGCCCACTGCAGGGCTTTGAGGAGTGACGTGATCTAACTGATTATTTTACAGTGCCCCTCTAGTTGCCCTGTAGGAGATCAAAGAAAGAACTGGGAAGCACCACTGT